GTGTTTTTACACATGTACACAGCAAGGGTGGGGTAGGCATGTGAATGTCACAACACACTTGTGGATGTCAGGAGACAACTTTGTGGAGTCACTTCTCAACTCCCACATTTACATGGGTTCCAAGGTGGAACTCACATCACTAGCCTTGTACAACGAGCACCTTTACCCATGGAGCCATCTCACCACCCCCAGGATTTGCTCTTAAATGCATGTTGCTAAGAAAAAGGAGCCAGTCTGAAAGACTGCCATCCAATAACCTGACATAGTGAAAGAGGCAAAATATAGAAACAGCAATGATTACTGGTTTTACTGGATGAGAGGGTGCATACCTGTAATCTCAGCACTTGGGAGGATCAAGAGTTCTGAGGCCAGCCTGAACTACATTAGACCCTGTGTCAAAATAAATGAAATAAGTGGTTTCTAGGTTTTTGTGTAAAAAGATGAGTAGATCAATCATAGGGAATGGTCTAGGATATAAACTTATTCTATATATTAATGTATATATAGCATTATGCATTTGTCAAACCCATGGAAATTTATAGCACAAAAAATGACTGAATGCATACAAGTTTTTTCTTTAAAATTACTTAGGAGGGACTGGAGAGATGGCTCAGTGGTTAAGAGCACTGGTTGCTCTTGCAGAAGACCCAGGTTCAGTTCCCAGCACCCATATGCAGCTAACAACCATCGATAACTCCAACTCCAGGGGATCAGATGCCCTCTTCTGACCTTCGAGGGCACTGCATGACATAAGTGCACCTACCTACATTCAGGCAATACAGTCATATGCATAAAATAAAAAATAATTGATAAATAGATCTTTAGAAATAAATAAACTGGGCGTAGCAGCGCACATCTTTAATACCAGAACTCAGGAGATAGAGGCAGGTGAATCTCTGTGAGTTCAAGGCCAGCCTGGTCTCCATAGTGAATCCAGGCCAGCTGTGACTTCAGGGAGACCCCGTCTCAAAAAGACCAAAAATAAATAAATAAATAAATATATAAATAAAATAAAATTACTTAGGATATTGAAGTATCTCAGAACCGAATGTGTCTTGTGACAGAACAATCTAGCTGTCTTACAAACATGTGGAGCAACCTCACTGATGGAGGTGATAGAGATGCTGATCCAAGTACATGGAAATGAGTGGAGCCTGTGAGACCAAAGGCAAAAAGAACTGCATATAACACTGAACTCTAGTGAATAAGGTTGTTTCCCACAGGGGTGTGGGTTATCAATTCTGAAATCACTGAATATGTCAAATGGATATGAACAATTAAGTGTTGGTGGGTGGTAGAAGCCAGATTTCTCACTGATGGAAAAAAAGTTAGACAGAGCCAAGTGATGATGGATTTGAGTTGCAGACACCAGCGTGAGTTCAAATTTAGCCCCCTATGGATACATATGGCTGCATATAGAATTTTTCATACCAATGCATGCACTCAGGTTACCCCCCACACACACATACATATTTTCTTGCCCTTAGCTGAGAAGATCCAGCAGCAACTATGTCCCAGTACCAGTGATCATTCAGATCTTAGCTTCCAATATTGTCTTCCAACAGAAGGTACCAGGGCTCCCTGGAGAAACAGCTGACTCCAGGGTTGGTGCAGAAAATATACTAGATGAGTCTGGAGTATGTTGTCATCTCAAAGAGTGCTGAAACACATACACAAAGATGGGGATGTGACAAAGGAATAGAAGCCAAATGAAAAGCACTTTCTGTGGCCAAAGAGGGAGCAATTTGAGGAATCAAATTACAAAATGAATATATGTGAGCACATGCAGACTTTCTAAGCCACATTGAAGATACTCGATTTAAGAGTAGACCCAGCCAGGCGTGGTGGCACATGCCTTTAATCCCAGCATGTGGGAGGCAGAGGCAGGCTGATCTCTATTAGTTCGAGGCCAGCCTGGTCTACATAGTGAGTTCCAGGTCAGCTGGGGCTACTGGGAGACCCTGTGTGTGTGTACATGTATGTGTATATGTATGTTTATGAATATGTGTGTTGCACATACACATGAATGTACAGGTACAGATGCCCATACATGCATATGCACAGGCCAGAACAGGACACTGGGAGTGTCTTCCTCTATCACCATCTGAGTTACTGCCTTGAGACAAGATTTGTCACTGAAGCAGAAATTTGCCAGTTTTTGGCTGTCTCTGCCCTACAATGCTGAGTTTACAGGCAGATATAGCCATGCCCAGTTTTTTACATGGGTGCTGGGTATTTGAACTCTCAGGCCTTCATGTTTGCAGAGCAAGTGCTCTTACCTACTGAGCCATCTCCCTAACCTCAAGAGGGGAATTTTTACAGAAATTTCATAACCATAAAAGTTTCAGTTTATCTAAGTGAAGTTCCATGGTTTCATAATGGTCATTCTAACTCTATAAAAGTTCACTGAGACGTATACAATTTGGGACTGGGCAAGTGTTTGCTTGGATGCCTGCCTTAACTTAGCTGTGTGATGTTATTTGTGAGTTCATTACAATAAAGTGATTTTAATTACTTAAAAAAGTTTCAGCTTAGCCACAAAATATAACAATCTTAAATTTGTACTCACCCAATAAGATTTAATTTAGCCATAATTTTTTTCTTGGCATGCATGTACATGTTCATGTGTGTGTGCACATGGAGGCCAGAGGTCAACATCAGGTGTATTCTTCAGTCACTCTCCACCTTGTTTTGGAGAGGGGGGAGGAGTTTGAAACACAGTCTCTTACTGACTTGAAGCTAGGTTTGGACCAGATGTGGCTAGACTGCCCCAGGGTTCCTCCTGTTTCTGCCTCTCTAGGACATGCTGTCAAGAAGGCTATGTGGATGCTCAGGATCTGAACTTAGGTCCTTATGGTTGAGTAACAAGCACTTTAGTAACCAGGCAATCTCCCTAGCTCCTTTTAGCTAAAATTTTTGTTGATTTCAGTTTATTATTTCAATTTATACATATTCCTATCCTACCTCTCTGTATAGTCTTGATTTTAATCTTCTCTTTCCTCTTTGTATATTCTTGATTTTAATCTGCTGCTTCTAAACATTTTGCAAACATTTTCCAGCCTTCTTAGGATTTTGTTGCTATTTTTTGTTTATGTCACAGAAAGTTCCCATTGTAATAATATGGGAAAATCCTTTTGCCTTTTCTTTATGGCTTCTGGGCCTGTGCTTGGGAAAATTGTCCCTCTCCAAGATTATAACATGCTCTTTTATGCTTTTTCCTCGCAGTGGTACAGCTTTGTTTTATGTTTAGTGCTTTAATCTAGCTATACTTTCATTTATAGTGTGATGTGAAAAATAGATGTTTATTTTGATCCAAATGACTCGCCAACTACTCTCATGCCACTTGACTATCCTTCCCTGATTTGAAATGGCACTGCTCAGTGTTAGCAGAATCTGTTTTGTTCCTTGAACCCATTTGTCTATCCTGCATCCCTTCAATTCTAACAGGGTAACTTGTAAGATTTCCCATCAACCTCTATTCTGTGGCAAATTCCCTTTGACCAGATTTCCTGTCCCTCCTGGCCAGCCAGTGACCCTCCTCAAGGAGGACTGGTGATGCCAGGTACACAGGGCTTTATTTGGTGGACCAGAAAGGAGACAGTAGAGTCCAGAGATGGCAGCTCCTTTTCACCTATCACAACAGAAAGCCACAGCTGCTCTTCAGCCAAGCAAAAGCCGGATACAAGGGAGCCAAAGGCTTACAAGGGGATCTGAAATATTCCTTGGCAATTTCACCTTGGCAGAGCACCTTCTTGGATCTGGTAGTTTACAGAGTAGATCCCTCCCCCTTGAATGCACCCTGGGGTTCTTCAGCAGTTTCTTCAAATATGCCTTACATCACAGGCTACTCCCAGAAAGGGAGCTGCACCCACTACCCTGTACCTCCCAGTGTGGGGCAGTACACTGGCCACCACACACAGTCAAGGTAAGGGCATATATGGCTGGGCTCTTTGCTTCAATATAGAAAGGAAGAGTAGAAGAACACATAACCACTCCCCCACACCTGTACCATTTGCGTCATGTGCAAATATTATCTTTAACTCAGAGGCAGCCAAAGCAGGACATGTGATAGAAAGCATCATTTCTGCACAACAAATATTTATTAATTACTTCTGTACTTCACACAGAACAAAATGTCTTCCCGTCTGCTGTAGCTCATACCCCAGGAGAGTTCACCAAGGATCAGGCAGGACAGGTCTGAGCCTACAGGCCTATCCTCAAGGCACAAGACCCAGATTGGAAGACCTGCCCAGCCCAGAAGCTCCCAGCTTTCCAGCAGATAGCACCCTCTGCTGGTGACAACAGGCTTAACAGTTGTTGAAAGAAGTACAAACTGAAAACCCAACCAGAATGTGATAACCTCCTCTGGCCCTCCTCGCACCAGAAAGAACAGCAAGGTACCTTTGCCTCCCCTGGTCTCCTGCAGTGTCACAGCCCAGGGTGTGATACTCTTTGTTCTCCAGAATCCTGATGAATGTTGAAGACTTACAGGAAATGGAAACTTTTTTTTTTTTTTTTAACGTGGCTGAGTGCATGGAGGTGCTTGCAAACAAAGGAAGTTAAAATCACTGGAAGCAATGACATGCTAGGGACAAGATCTGATATCTCTCTCTCTCTCTCTCTCTTTCTCTCTCTCTCTTTCTACCCCCTTTCTTTCTCTTTCTCTCTGTCCTTTTCGGTGCTGAGAACTGAACTAGTGTCTAATGCACACTAGGCTAGCAGGCTACTGCCCCGGCACTAAGCTACAGTCTCATCCCAGAATGGAGATTTTAAAAGAATTTTTTTATTAAATTGTATTTATTCATTTATAAATGAGTGTGTGTGTGTGTGCGTGTGTGTGTGTGTGTGTGTGAGAGAGAGAGAGAGAGAGAGAGAGAGAGAGAGAGCCCGTGTTTGTGCCTGTGCCACGGCATATGTGTGGAGGACAGAGGACAACTTGGGTGAATTGGCTCTCTCCTTGTACCATGTGGTTACAGGGATCAAACTCAGGTCATCAGGTTTGGTGATAATTGTCTACCCACTGAGCTATCTCACCAACTCTGGAGATATTCTTGATAAGAGAAATAAAAGAAGAAAGCTGGGTGAGAAGCTTATACTCAGTCTGTGCCTAGGACAGACATGTCCTCGGCAGGTCTAGGACCATGAACCAGAAGGTAATCTCACACTGACACTGACCAAGGCCTCAGAAACCTGGACACCAGTGACCTGGTACAGGGGCAAAGGAGCCACTGCCAATGGTGCTGGACACCTTATGGCCATGGTGACAATCATTTTTCTAGAACAACCTCTCCCAAGCCTTGAGAAAAAGGTGGATTAAGGAACAACCATAGGGAAGACCCTCATGGCCCCTCAGCAAGAGCCATGGCGCCTAGACAAGCTCTGACTCCTTCAGTACTTTTGCCCACTTTTGGGCAAAGAACTGATAACAGCACTAGCTCCAGGAGCAAACTCTTCAAAGCTGTGGTTAACATAGACATTGGGGGTCATGTTGGGGGTTACATCGGGAGGGAAGGGGTACTTCGGACAGGAGGGCTCAGGGGCCATTGCTGCCTCCATGGATTGTTTCTCTTCCTGTACCAAAGCTGGGTTAACATCAGGCCCTGCAGAAAAGAGGGACAAGAACAGACGTCATCAGAGGCATGCAGGGGGTGCAGGCAGCATTGCAGTCTAGAACATGGGAGCTGAGCTCTGACCTCATTTGCACCTCTTTGCTTTTTCTTTGCACTAATAGTTCCTTTCCTTGGTGTTCCTTTTGCCTATATGTATGTAGGTGCACCACGTGCATGCAGTGCCTGTGGAGACCAGAAAGGGTGTCAGATGCCCTGGAACTGGAATTACAAATGGGTCTAAGCCATCGTGTTGGTGCTGGGAACTAAACTTGGGTCCTTTTCAAGAGTAACCAGTGCTCTTAACCACTGATCCATCTCTCCAACCCCTAGAGGATGATTTTTTTTTAATTTTTAAAAATATTTTATTTATGGGCTGGGCGTGGTGGCGCATGCCTTTAATCCCAGCACTCGGGAGGCCGAGGCAGGCAGATCTCTGTGAGATCGAGGCCAGCCTGGTCTACATAGCAAGTTCCAGGCCAACTGGGGCTACAGGAAGACCCTGTCTCAAAAAGACCAAAAAAAAAGAAGAAAAAAAAAGGTCATGTTTAAAATACCAACAGAAGTGCAGTGGGCAACAGAAAGAATGTTTAAGATACAAACCTATTAACAAAGAGAGATGTTTATACATGTCAAATGGAGGGGGAAAGGCTTCCAAAATAGGAGGTGTGGTGATGATCTTGGCCATGGAAGTGAATGTTTACCCATGGACAGTGTGTACTCCCTAAGTTGTCCAAGGGAGCAGGCTCTGTTGACTGGCATAGTTATAAATGTGATGGCCTGTAGCCTGGCAGGGCTGGGCTTGGGCACTCACCCAGGTAGCTGAGGACAACTGGCAGGAAGACAAGGCCATGCACCAGGCCCAGCAAGGTGATCAGGAGGTTGAGGCGGAAGAAGAAGATCTGGATGAGCTGGGCCTGGGCAAAGCCCAGGATGAGGATGCCTGGAAGGTTGGTCATAGCCACTCCAGCAAATACCTAGGGGTTCACAGTCAGAAGTCAGGCAGAACATAAGGGGTCAGGTAGTGCACAGGGTAACCATCCCTCTTCACTCACCGCACTGCCCATGGAGATAGTAGCCTCCTTGGCCCTCTCCAGCCTCGTAGGCTTGGTGTTAACAGCAAAGGAACGGGTAATATGGGACACAAACTCCACAGACATGCCCACTGCCTGCAGACACAGAGGGGACTTCACTGACAAGGCGGAAGCAGAGGCAGGAAAGAAAACAAGCCAGGCAGGTGTCCTAATTCTACACATAACTAGAAGTGTCATATGAACCTGGACCCCCAACTGCCAAGAACCAACACTAGATGCCCATGTCTGCAGGTTTACCGTGACAAGGTTGATGAGGGACACAGCATTGTAGCTGATGTTCCACACGGCCATGAGGCCGATGGTGTCCACAAGGATCATGATGATGGAAAGCAAGTTGAGGAGGCCCGAGCGTATGTCCAGGCCCAGCAGGAGGTAGCAGACGACAAAAGTGGGCACGAAGCAGAGGGCAAGCGTGAAGATGCCCTCAGGGAGGACAGTCAGGTACTGCTCATAGAACACATTGGAGATCCTGCCAGAGAACAAAGTGTGGTCACAGCACCAGCCCCAAGGGCTCTTCAAGTGGGTAGGACACCCCATTTTATAAGGCGACTAAGAAGTTTGAGTTGGGTGCTAGCCCATGTAAGAAATGGACAAGCTCCAGGCTATCCTGGGAGACTCCTGAGACAAAGCCAGTCCTCATCCCTCAAGATCACTCAAAAGCCTGTAACTCCAACAACTCATATCCAGTTGTTACCTCCCACCTCCCTCTGGCTTGGCCCCCAGGTCCTCACGTGTAAGGGAAGACCTCAAAATTTGGGTCTGTCCCAGGCACCTTCCGCATCTCATCTGTGATGTTGGCTGCTAGCAACCGGGCTGCTCGTAGAGCCTCTGTGAAATCCTGTGAGTTCCTTAGAGGCTTGTGGTAAGCCATGAACTGGGAGGCTAGAAGGCCACAGCACACAGGAGAGGAAAAGTCAAAGGTTAGCATCCATTCAAGATACCCTCAGAGTACCCCACAGACAGCAACAGAGACATGTGACAAGATTGGGTGGTTCGGGGCTCTGCTATGACCAGCTGAAAATCCTAATAAATTTTCTACAAGATGCCTGCATTTTCATTTTGCATCAGCCCCCGCCCCCCAAACTGTAGCTGCTCCTACCACTGTAGAAGACTCAAGTCCAGGCCTGACCTTAGGATGAAGTCTAAGAAGTCTCCTCTTGATAGGTATAGTGGCACACTGCCCGTAATCCCAGCACGCAGAAGGCAGAGGTGGGAGGAATGCTGCAAATTCAAGGCCAGCTTGGGCTAGAGAGTGAGACCCTGTCTCAAAAGCAAAATAAAACAAAGCAAAAAGAGATCTCCCTGGTGAACCTAAATCCATCTCTGTATGCTTTCAAAATATGCAATGCATTTTTTTTAATTAACATAGTTTTTGTTGGGTTATAGTGATATATGCTTGTAATCCCAGCACTTGGGAGGTGGGGGCAGGAGGATCAGAAATTCAATGCTCTAAAGCAAGTTCTACACCAGCCTAGGTTACATGAAACACTATCACAAAAAAAAATTTTTTAACTTAATTTTCAGTTTGCCTATTCCTATAGGAAAAGACTAGAAAGTCAGAAAAAAAACCACAAAAAACTATTGAATCATTTGAGCTGTGACTTAAGGCCTCTGCCAATAAGACAATAAACATTTCCTAATTGTCTACAGTGGGTCTTGCATCAGGAAAAGAAACAAGAGGGTCATGCACACATAGAGAAAACAAAGATGAGAAGTAGTAGGGGCCTGTGGAGCCTGGCACCAGGCCTCTGAACCACCTAAAGATAAATCACACCCAGATAGGTGGTCATTCCAACCCAGAGAGATAGTCTGGCAGGTCTCAGGTAAGGCCTGGGGATGTCTAACAATTTCCTAAAGATGCTGATACTGTTATCTGGGGGCTCTGGCTTTGAAGAATGTTGTCGTAGTCAACTAAAGTCAGAGATGGATGCAGACCTGCCCTGGACCGTAGGGTACAGGGATGGTTCTCTGTCTCCAAGTTACAACACATGCTTCTGTTCGTGACTGAAACACCCTTTCCCTTTTGACCACATGGGCTCTGTACACCTCTTTTGTCTAGGGATGAGAGCCAGGGAAAGTCAGGCTGCCTTTTCAAAAGATGAGAACTTCTTGGAAGAGTTAGATGGGAAGGTGGAGAAAGTGTGCTGTAGTCAATTTGTAGCTAGTTATTCAAACTATAAGTTGTTTCAGCACAAAAATGAAAGAATTCACACAAAGCTCCCCCATTAACCACCAACTCTCAGGCCCATGTCTGTGCCAGCTCCACCAGGTGCACCAAGTGGTGTGCATGGAGATAACTAAAGCTGGCTCCCTCTATGCACATGGCTGTCTTGTTCTACTACCTCTTGTTAAACTGACAGCACACTATCGATCCTTCTCCCTATCAGTCCAACTTCATCACCTTCGTTACTGTTGACAGCTTTGGGATTCCAGTACATGGAAGCATCCTAACACATTTTTCCAGCTGCCCGCGGCTGACACTTCAGTATGAAATAGGCATGAGTAAAAAGGTGCTTTTAGCTCACAGCTGGGGTGGGTAGCTCCCAAGTATGACATGAACTACTAAAATAGTGTCACATATTCCACACTGACGTGGACTTGGTGTAGAAGAATGGATAAATATCTGAGCTCTTAGAATTAGAAAGTAGGACCCTTACTGACAGGTCCAGGATAGTTAGGAACACACACACACGCACACGCACACGCACATGCACATGCACACATGCACATAAGGGTGTTCTTGAGGACTCTGGAGTTCTCCCTCAAACTAGGTAGGCCACACTTACCTATGACCTGGCCATCTGAGCTCAAATTCACAGCGGTTCTGTACGCTGCTAGACCACTGCAAAGAGGATACCAAAGTACAGGCTTAGAGGGGTTGAAACTTTGTCCTCTCTGCCCACTCACTGCACCACAGAGAGGCTTTTACTAGACCTCCCTTGCCCCTTTATGTCCACCCATCTCCAGGACCCACAGGTCTACCCTTTCTCGGGCAAAAGCCAATCTCTGAACCCACCCTTTGGGACATTTGATGTTGGGTGGATCATTCAGGAACCAAGGAAGGTACTTGTGAAATTCCTCTACTGTGGGCCGCACAGCACCCGTAGTGAAGGCCATGCAGTTCTTGAAACAGTACGAGGAAGCTGCAAAGAGAAAGGGGGGGCCCTCTGGGCAGTGGCACACCAGGCAAGGCAGCTCCTGCTCTGACTCCCCCTCTGTGCCCCAATCTAAAGCCCCCAGTTCCGAGAGGGTTTTACATTTGTCATCTCCAATTGGGGGAGATGTTCCCTTCTCAGGGAATTCCTGGTGCCTACAGTAGAAAAGGGAAGTTAGGAACAAGAAATGCAGGCTCTCTCACCAACTGCAGGCACAGTACCTCCATATGCAGGGCAAACACCCCACTCCCAACCTCACTGCCCACAACAAGCATGCTGCAAGCACAGGCATAACACTCTAGGAGCATGAGAATATGAAAGCCTGCGGGTCGACCACAGAAGCAACTCACGGGGTCCCACCCTGAGGCTGAGGGTGCCTGTGTCTCCCTGGGGGAGACTAAGGGCCTTTCCAGTCCTTTCCCCTCTCTTGCCTCAGTTTCCCCAAGCTATAATGGGCAATAAGCCTCCTGTAATCCCCACACTCACTATCTGTTGAGGGACAGAATTCATCCTTATTGGGGCCAAAGGCATAAAGGCGACAACAGGTGGATGGGGTCAGCCAGTCGATGAAGTCGTCTACCCAGGAGGAGGCAGCAATAGCCAGATAAGACCTGAAGCCAGATGACAGAGAGTAAGTAGAGCCAGTGAGCCTGGTGGTGGGGTTCGTTCTGTGGTTTGACCCCTGCAATGGGGCTCCTCGGGCATTTGGTAGCAGCAGGGGCAGAGCAGGCAGGAGGAGAGAACAGGAGAGGAAAGGAGAAAACAAAAAGGAATCCAGGGAATTGGGTAGACCAGGCACTTACGTGTCAGGAAACTCAGTGGCATACTGGATCTTCTGAGTTAGGGAGAAGCTGTCACAGCCTGAACTGGAGCAGATGGCATTCATGCCTGCCACAGTGGAGAAGTTGAAGCCTGGAGTGGTGTCAAAGTACACTGGAGGCCCCACCTCAAAGTATTGGTTCAAAAAGAGGAAGTAGTTGATCAAGTATGAGTCCTGAGAAGGAAGGGAGTCCATGAGTTTCAGGAGACAATATGTACCCACAAAGGGCTCGCTCCAGGTCATACTCCAAGAGGTATATGCAGAGATACATGCACCAGAGTGCATTTAAATGTACATACTGATGTAAACACAAAATTACACACAGGAACACAACCAGATGTACCCACACAAGGTACATAGCTCAGAGGTATACACACAGGCACACATTCAGATATACATACATGCAAAGGTACATACTCAGAAGTATGCAGAATAATATGCACACAACAGAGGTACAAGGTTAGAGGTTATGCTGGGTAGCTTTAGTGTCAATGACACACCTGGGTTGAGGGAGCCTCAATTGGGGGATTGCCTCTATTGGACTGGCCTGTGGCCATGTCTGAGGGGGTATCTTCTTGATGAGTGATGTGGGAGGGCCCAGCCCACTGTAGGTGTTGCCACCCCTGGGCAGGTGGGCCTGTGTTGCATAAGAAAGCAGTCTGAGCAGGGGCAGGGGAAGAAGCCAGTAAGCAGTGTTCCTCCATGGCCTGTGCTCCAGCTCCTGCCTCCAGGTTCCTGCCCTGAGTTCCTACCTTGGGCTCCCAGATG